CTGCAGCTTCAGCGTCATGACGTATGCTTACGACACGCTTTGGAGTAGTGAGTCAATGCTGCTGCTAATGCTAACAAGTTTGCCGAGGAAGCAAACATGATGTGCTGTTTTTTTAAAAATAGAGATGATTTTACGTGTGTTTACGTGACTTCATGTAGTTGATAATCCACGAAGGTATCAGGTTAAGCCATGAATTCCTTTCTGAGAGTTTAAAAGGACTGACTCGAGTCGCAGTCATAAAGCTAACATTCAGGCTGGTGTCAGTTCTGCGGGGAGTTAATTTAAGCATTTGCTTTGTTTTTGTGTTCATAGACAAATCCTCCTCCACCATTTTGTAAAATGGTTTCTTCCCTGGTGGGTCTCTGTGCCCGGGTGTTCGTCAGTGACCCCTGCTGGTTGGGATGGGTGCCCGGGGAACTGTTCAAGGCTCTGTTGAAGGCCGCCTTCTCAAGCTGCAGACCGCTGGCTGTGGGTGAGCTGGTGAGTCGCTGGTCCTGGAGGAGTCTAAGGGTGGGAGTGGGAAGGAAACCGGGACAAACTGGTTCAAACAGGCTCAGCTGCTAGCTGTGGTTCGAGGTCTGTCCAATAGTGTTGGGAAGACCGAATCTTTTTACTGATTCGGATCATTTACTCTACATTGAACGAATCTTGAACGGTTCATTTCGTTCATTTTTACAGCAGGTGGCACTGTAGCCCTCTTATGGGCGTTGTAAAGAAGGCCGCGGTTGTCAAACACTAAATACTGAAGGCAACATGGTTTGTTGACAAAGTATAATATTACACAAAGCAATCAATTCAAACCATGTTTTTGGTATGAAATGATATTTTCATTTACATTTTATAAAACTATTGTTGTTTATATCACTGTTTCCTGGACTCTGCAGATCCTGGATCTGTGTGGGCTCTAAGGAGACCAAGGAAGAGCAGGAGACCCCATGGGCAGCTGGTCTTTGACCCTAGCTCTCTGCACCATAGTGACTCAGGCCCAGAGAAAGAGCAGAAAGTGATGATAACCAATCAAATTCTGATGCATGTCTTACAGAGGACCAGGACGTCAGAGGACCAGTACATCACAGGACCAGGACGTCAGAGGACCAGGACGTCACAGGACCAGGACTGTAGACAGACTGTATGGTCTGTCTCGAAGGTAAGAACTCATAATTAAAACCACTTTTTGTTTTGTATCACAGGAATCCGGGGAGTTAATTGAAGCATTTGCTTCGTTTTTGTGTTCATAGAAAAATCCTTCTCCACCATTTTGTAAAATGGTTTCTTACCTGGTGGGTCTCTGTGCCCGGGTGTTCGTCAGTGACCCCTGCCATCCCAACGATGGGTGCCCAGGGATGGCGACTGGTGGCTTTGAACCTGGAACCTTCTGGACACATGTCCACTTCCACCGGCTGTATACTATGACTTTTGAAAAAGATTGTGAGAAGTTTTCCAGAAAAGAATTCAACAATTAGACCCAAAACATAAGTGGGTAAAAATACAGTACCTCATCTTCCTTCTCCCCCTGCTCTCTGTAACACTGTGAGAAGCTGAAACACAGGACTGATTTCAGACCACTTTCTGCAGCGACACAGACATTTAATCAGTAAACCTGCAGGGAGCGCCATCCTGCTTTTCTTTCTGACTGCTGCCATTCAATCACACCCTTTCACTGTGGTGGAGCAGCCTGCTCTGTGTGTGAGAATAAGTGAGCCAAAAAAATACAAAAGTCCAGCAGCAGGTGGCAGCACTGTATAATCTCTTTAGATTTATTACCAATCTGAATGATACATTTCACACAAAATAAATACTTCTCATTGAGATACATATTATACTTATTTATTTATATATATTCATCTATATTTCTGTGTCAGATAAATAGCACTATGGATAAATGTATGAACCATGTAAATATATCACAACATACCAGAGAAGGAGGAACGAACAAGTTCAATAATAATCAGTTAGTGGATCAACTGGTGGAAGGAACTGGAACTGCAGCTCCTGTTCTATAATAGACCACAAACTGAGATGTGTGTGTGTGTGGGGGGGGGTCTGAGATACAACAATACACTAACATCTATGTGTGTGTGTGTGTGTGTGTGTGTGTATATATATTGTTGTAGTGTGGTCAGAAGTTCTGCTGTGATCCAGTACAATTATGGGATTTTTCTGTACAATTAAGTCATGTTTAAGTACTACAACAAGTATTTTTATTCTACAACTCATTCTGTTGAGAAGTCACATGTTACACAGAGAAAACTCTGGTCAGGGAGCGGAAAAACGGTGGGGGGGCATCACTGAGGGAGGGCTTTCAGGATGGCATTCACCTCTTCTGCCACCGCTGTCAGTGCAAACTCAAACTGCTCCTGAAGAAAAGGGGGGGGGGGGTTAACTCCATCAGAGAGTGACTGACAGCTGCTGCCTCCACCTTTTTCTCCACCCCTCCTGACCAGGCTGAGGATGTGTGTGACCACAGACTGGAGGTGAAGGTGAGCCTCACCTCCAGGGGGCACTGTCTCCACCCAGTGGTTAATGTAGTGTCTCTCTGTTCCCACTCAGGGCTGACTGATGTTTGCCCCCTGGACCTGGGGTTTTTATATTCCTCTTCTACCCCAGGCTGCAAAAGGAGTGTGGAGGGAAGAGCTCCACCCTGAAGACAGACTCCACCAGCAGCTACCCTACAACTACAGCTAATCCCAAGTTTAATGCTCTCCCTCCCAGCGCCCCCACGCCCTCCCCCAACACACATCCTTTTATTTTATTTCTTGCTGTGCAACTTCACACCTCTGGGTGGAGCTCAATTTCTGACAGTCAGGAAAAGAGCAGAAAAACTGAAAGCAGCAAAAACAACAAAAGCAACAACAGACACTTCCTGTCAATGATCAGAGCTTTGACCAAACACAGAATCAGACACCGGAGGAGGTTATCTCAAATATCAGCTGATTGGATATTGATTTGCTTGTTTAAATCGGGGTGGAGGGTCCAAACGAGGCATGTGAAAAAAAAACCCTGTGAATTCTTCAGATATTTGACATCGGATAAAAAACTTTATAAATAAATCCAACAACTAGTCATGACAGTGAGTTTAGAGTTACAAAGACACAGCAAAGTTAGACAAATATAAAGCTAACAGTGAATCTACTAGTTAATTATAGTTAACTTAAAGATTTTAACCAAAAAAACAACCAAATAAAAGAAAACAGCTGAAAATATCTAAAAATGTGTTAAATCTTAGCTGATGACGACTAAATATAAATACAGTATATACAGTGTTCCCTCTCTAGATCACGGTTCTCCTTTCACTTCCTCAGTACACCGCAGATTTCAATCTCATTCTCAGAGTTTCACTATAACACTGTATTTTACGGTAAATATTTTATAAATTTCCAATATTTACATTATTTTTGTGATTAAAAAACATTTTCTAGTTTAACCACTAAGCTGAGTGCTAACCTCCGCCGCATCGTGTATTTAGTTTATTGACGTCATATGTATGTCTTATATTTCCATTCTACAACTCGACTGTGAATATAACTGTGTGGGGCAGGGTGATACAGTCAATAATATAATATCTCGCTCGCCTCTACTTCGCGGATTTTCCCTTTTCGTGATGGGTCTTGGAACAGAACTACTGAGATAGGAGAGGGAACACAATATAAATATTAGCTTAAGGTCAGACAAATAAGCAGTTCAGATTGGAGCAGAGAGGTTTACAGACGATTCTAAAAGTCACCCATGTTGAAGATTATTAAAAACTCAGACTTCTTAGAGAACACCTCATCATCACCATCAGTACATAATAGAAGACACCCCCCTTCCCTCCCCCTTCTCACTTACCTTTGTCTGGACCATTCCAGCTCTCTGGTCTCTCAGGTGCTCCAGTGTAGCAGCAATATCGATCTCTTTAGCACCTGCAACAGGCGGAAAACTGGAGTGAGTTCAAAGCAGCAGAATAATCCGGCTCACATCTGTCGGCCTCTCTTTACGGCCCGCTCCCTCTGGACGACCATGACATTCATCCCTGGACAGACTTGGACCAGAGCCACAGACTCTTTCTAGATAAAATATGCAATTGATATTTTTGGGGGGTTCTGGGAAGTTGGCAATAATGTTTGAGGACAAAAAAAACTCAGTTGTGGCTTCTCCGAGAGAATTAAACATTCATGTCCAGTACTGTCCGTCCTCAGTCTGACGCCACTTTGATGGACTCCACACAGAGGACGAGAGAAGAAGAAAGTGACGGAGAGTCGCTGAACTCTGTTGAGATGTTGATCAAAGAGCCACAGAAGAAAAGAAGGAGAGAGGGAGGAGAGAGAAGTGCTGACAGTTGTTAGAGACCAGTCAGAACTGGTTTTAGTCACTGAGCCTAGACACCTGGAGGACTGATGAACATCTGTCTGAGGACTTTCTGACTGACAACTGCTTCACCTGGACGTTGTTGTTTTACTGCTGTGACCTCGGACCTCATGATGTCACACATCACATGACCGACCGTCCACTGCTGCTACTTTTACTTAAGGGAAGGGGGCACAAATGGTGGGAGGGCAAAGGTCAGGGCTCCCTGGTCTTTTAGAAGAAACAGCTCCAGAGAAAGAATCGTTTGACCTCGACGTTCCAACGATCACATGATCAGAGGCAGAAAAATGGTTGGTTTTCTCACCAAGTCAAGAGTTCAGTTGGTCATTTCACACATGCAGATATATTTATGTATATATATTTGTATATATGTATATTTATATCTTCAATCAGAACATGACTGATCGTCGACTTCTTTGGTTCCAAAACCACATCTTTTTATTACTCCTCCCTGATTAGAACCCTTGGTTTGTCTTTGTTACCAGATACTGTTTACTCAGACGCAGCAGGGGGCGCTCATGCATAAATCAGTGAAAAAACACAGGCAAATGTTTTCTTTTTACACATTTCGATGCACGTTCCATCTACAGTGACTGGAACCGATAATTACTGATGTGGTCTTAGCTCGCTCTTTCATTTCCTCTCTTTCTCTCTCTCTCTCATACCCCCCAACCCCCTGGGCCTCTAATGCATTTTTCTAAGACCCCAGTGGAAACGAGAGGCTTCAGCGTTGCCATGGAAACCCTTGAACCAAAGCAGAGAGCAGTGAAGGAGAAGCCACTGATGGTTACCTTTAGCCATCCTATTGAGGACCATGTCAATCAGGATGTAAGTCCCACTCCTGCCGGCTCCATCACTGCAGAGAGGGAGATGAGGGGTGGGGGGGGCACACGGGGGAGAGTGTGATTGAAGCTTCTTTAATCTGACGTTGAGGTGGTTTAAACAAAGATAAACTGTTTCTCATCACAGATCAACTTCATTATTTATAGTTTTCAAACTTGACTTACAGGAAGTAAACTGATAAAAAAGACATCAAAAGAATCAACATCGTCTGTAAAATTTATAAACAAATACCATGAAAACAAACAAAAAAACAAAACAAAGAGTAGGATTGAGGCAGTTCTAGGTCAGGTCTCCTGATAATCTTAGATAATCTCCTGGGATGAACATTAACATCTCCATATATATATTTATCATATATTTGTCATAATTGACTGAGTGTTCTTGGTGAAGTGAAAAGGTGTTTCTAAGAGTGTGTGTTATTTCAAATCACGGGGTATGCACACACACACATACACACACACACACCTAACTCTGTGTTAGATGTAGGTCATAAAGCCCTGACACACTGTAGTAAAATCAGATCAGATCAGATTAGATCAGATTAGATCAGATTAGATTAGATTAGATTAGATTTGCTAATGTTGCTCTGATTGTGCTTCAGTTTGTTTTTCTTCTTATTTTCTATAATGACTTAGTCCTTGCTTTTATTCTTGTAAACTGAGATCAGTTTTATTCCTTTTCCCCCTGGTGGAGACACCTGAGAAGACAGGTGAATATTGGTGTTCTAGTAAACAGGATTATGTTAAGCTTTAGATACTAGAACATGTGTGGTCTTAAGACCCTCACTCTCCCGTTCTTGGGAGGGGGGGTACTCTCTGAGCCACACTGAGGAACAAAGGCTCTTAAATGCCTGCACCTCAGGAGTGGAAGGGGTAGGCAGGAGTGGTGGTGGTGGGGGGGGGGGGAGG